TTGTACACCTCGCATACCGCACGCTTCAGTAATATAACTGAGTCTTGTGTAGTGCACGGTGTGCTTCAAGAGACCCCCCGCGCCCCTTACACTCCCATCAGACTTGCAATTATACCAGTCGCCGGTAATGGCCTGTCCGTGTCTCGTCCTGCCCTTTGTTACACCATGTCCGATCGTCCATGTGATAAATGTCGGTAATAATTTTATGCGCCCAACACGCAGAATCTGTCGGCGCCAGGGGCCCGGCCGAACATCACGGCCATTCCCGGTCGACGTCGCTCGTAACGGAACCACAATACAACCCTGCGTCTTTCCGCTGTCCAAATTACAATGTCCCTACTTGCCCAGCTCTCCGATATCAACATCACAACCTTTCACTCAGGGATATAGAATCGACATCGGCGAGCCATGACGGACATACAGCTCTGATGTCCGCCTCAGATTTCTGGCCGTTCTTTCTGGAAGATTCTCGCCCGCTCATGCAGTGAGTCGGAACTGATTGAGATGGCACTAAGTATTTCTCGCCCTCTCCTGCGTGTTCTCTCCGTCGACGTCGACATCATACCCGAATCATCCATGACGCAAGGCCGCTGTCATACAACCTATACGGTCCTCGGAAGATCGTCGAGACCCTTCGGGGAACGTTCGACGGTGTCTCCCCCACTGCCCTGCGTTGATATATAAAGGTAGGCATAATCGTCCGCAGACTCATCAACAAATAGTTCTTCGAGCAATCATCGAAACACACTCGTCTATCACATCATGTCTTTGTCTTTCTACGAGCCTTTCTACTCGCTCTCCGACTTTGACCGTCTCTTCGATGAGGCCTTCGACGCACGCACGCCCTCTGCGGGTCGGCGGCAGATTGGCCAGCAGGAGCAGGGGCAGGTCAGCCTTCGGCCGAGGTATGTCGCTTTCAGTTTCACTCTGTCCTGGTGCGACTAGCGTACTCAACCACCGTGTTCAGAATAGACGTCCACGAGGACAAAGAGAAGAACATCGTGACGACCACGTTCGAGCTCCCTGGCTTGAAGAAGGAGGATGTCGATATCGAGGTCAACAACAATGTGCTGACTGTGTCCGGCACCGCAAAGTCGGATTCCGAGCGTAAGGAGGAAGAGTATACCGTGCGCGAGAGGCGCTTCGGCAACTTCCTTCGGCAGGTGTCGCTTCCCGAGGGGACCAAGGTGAGTTCCCTTTCGTGTCCGTCCTGATAGAATTATTTCTCATACGTGTTCCACAGCCTGACGCGATCAAAGCATCCATGGAGCACGGTGTCCTCACCGTCAGCTTCCCGAGGACTGCTCCTGAGAAGGCCCCGAAGAAAGTAGCCATTCAGTGAAGTTGTAAGGCACTATGCTAGCTTCAGAGGGTGTTGGTGTCACGTTCTGAGATTGTTGTATCGATATCGTGTATATTTTGCAATGCTCTGATGTATCTTGCTATGTAATTCAAACATGTTTACTTCGATGCTTTTTCAAACATTTCACCTGGAATACAAAAAAAGTCATTCGACAGAAAAACGGTCAGGTCCCTACTGTTGTCCTGATGTTAAATTCTGTGTAGCGAATGTGGAGAAAAAAATTAAACAAAACATTCTATGAATGATTCGACTCGGGATCGAACCGAGGACCTTCTGTGTGTTAGACAGATGCGATAACCAGCTACGCCATCGAACCTTGTCGCTTTCGAGACTTTTGTTTGTCAGACCTGGGTCGGTCACCTGTGACCCCTTGTCACTATTGTCGTGACACGGTCACCGATTGAGCGTCACAACTCACTGTACTGACGCGTCGCGTCGAGCTGTTGCACACTATACACCTCCTTCAACGCCATGGCCGAAGAAACCGTCCTCCCCATCCCAAATCTTTCTCTCGCGCAAGACTTTTTTATCCTCAAGAACCCTGCATTCGATCACTTGCACGAGCATGCGCGCCACGACCTGCTCGCCGGCATTGAGGCAGACAAGATGGCACCGTATTACCGTCTCGTCGCCTCGACAAACGTGCTGCCGCTTGACGATGCCCTGGTGACAAGAATGGAGAAGGAGAACGCAGAGGAGCTGGAGGCCATTGAGAAGAGGCTGAAGGATGCGGAGGAGACGGAGGGCGAGAGCGAGATTTCAGATGCTTTAAGGGCGAAAGCTACATATCTGACGCGGATTGGGGAGAAGGTAGGTCTTGGGATGTGAGTGAGAAATCAATTATGACATCTGACATCTCTATTGTTGTGCAGGAGAAAGCTGTCGAGGCACAAAAGCTGGCCCTCGAGAAGACGCCTGGCCTGGGTGCACGAATAGATATCGCACTCACTCTCGTTCGCATTGGCTTCTTCTTTGGCGACCACCAACTCGTCATCGCATACTTGGCACAAGCAGACGCACTCATCGAGAAGGGTGGCGACTGGGACCGCCGGAACCGACTGAAGGTGTATCGCGGCCTGCACTTGCTCTCCATCCGCCAATTCAAGGAAGCCGGCGAGCTCTTCATTGATGCGCTTTCGACATTCACGGCAACTGAACTCGTGCCTTACCATGATTTCGTTGCTCTCACTATCGTCGCGGGTGCACTCACCTTGTCGCGGGTTGACCTTAAGAAGAAGGTAGCTCCGATCCCTAGAGCCAGACCTTGTGGTGTGAACTCACCTACCTTGTAGATCATCGCCGCACCTGAAGTCAACCAGGCGCTCCCCGAACTCCCCGTCCTCGCGGACCTCATCAAGAGTCTCTATGACTGCCATTACGACAAATTCTTCGTTGCCCTCGGTATGCTCTGCTTCTTCTCCACCAGGCTGTGCTTGACCCACCTCGGAGTTTAGCCACCCTCGAACAAACACACCTCCTCCCCTCCCGCTTCCTCTCCCCGCACACGCGCTTCTACGTGCGCGAAATGCGCATCCTCGCCTACACGCAACTGCTCGAGTCTTACCGCTCGCTGACACTCGAGAGCCTCAGCGGCGCTTTCGGCGTGACTGTCGACTTTGTGGACAAGTTCGTCTCCATCGATTTGAGCGTTGTACCAATCTGACAATATGACGTCTGATTAGCGAGCTCTCCCGGTTCATCGCATCGGGGCGTCTCCATGCTACGATCGACAAGGTCAACGGGGTAGTAGAGACCAACCGACCATCGCTCAAGAACGCGCAGTGCGACACTGTCGTGCGCAAGGGCGATATTCTGCTCAACAACGTCCAGCGGTTGAGTAAGGTGCTATACTAAATTCGTAGTGCTGGATGTTGTGTAGTGTGTTGGGGACAGTGAATGTAGCATACCACGCGTACTCTCATCAGCATGTCTGTTGCGGTGCGGTGTAATTCTTTGCATTTCTTTCTTGGGTTCCAGGTCGGTGTTGATCCCGCAGTCAGTCATACGAAAGTCTGTCGCGTCCGCAGCTGACTATTGCGACTTCCTTCATACCAAGTACTAGTACGCGTATCTTCGCCGTGCACCAATACTCTGCGCAAATGACGTGTTCCGATGAAGCGATGACTGCGGGTGGATATACCTTGGGGCAAGCGCTGGGCTAAAGTCCTGCACATTGTTGAGGAGCTCCATCAATCGCGACTATAATCAAGTGATATGAGTACGACGATGAGATGGAGGTAGGGCCATTTCGGTTGCAACGTGTAACGTCTCGAAGTGTTGCACGATGTATCGCGGTATACTATCCTCCAAACAAGTCAAGTGTTTGATCCAACATCTCCACCATTACCTTCTCGGATACATGATCTCTGCCCCGAGAGTATTGGCGCTCACCGGTGAGCGCTCACTGCCATATGCATGTCACGTACATAGGCACAGGTCCGCAATATGGCGGCGCGACTGCGCTACCGACTGACTCCTATCAGGCGCCGTCCGCAGCCAGACAGCTAATAGGGCTGTCGGTGGATAAATAGCGACCACGCTCATCCGAGACACCGACATCAACCCACCAACATCTCCTCTCATCCTCTCTCAATGTCTGACTCTAGCTCTCCTGTCGCGAACGTCTATGCGCTCGGCGCGTCGCGCAACATTGGCTACTATGCTTCGTTGCGGCTGCTCAGTATGTCCTGTCTCCTTTCTATGCACCGAACCGCGTCTGACATCGATCACAGAGAAAGGAGCAACCGTGACGTTCCTCTTGCGCAACCCTTCCATATTCGATAACGATGCGGACATCCAGCCATACATCAAAGAAGGCAAAGCACGCCTCGTAAAGGGCGATGCGCTGAACCGGGAAGACGTCGCTGCCGGATGGACATCCGCAGGCCAAGTCGGCCCAATCGACCTGCTCCTCTTCACAGTCGGTACGCACTTTCCTGCGCAACGCCTCGAACCGTAATACCATCGTCTTACACACACCCAAGGGGGCACGCCCAACTTCAGCATCCGCCACGGCCTCGTCCTCGCGACGCCCGACCTCTGCACGCGGTCCATCCTCAACACGCTCTCCACGCTCCCGCGCACGCAGCCCGCACCGCGCGTCGTCGTCGTGACGTCCACGGGGCTCAGCGAGACCGCGAACGCGGACCTCCCGTACGCCGTGCGCGCGCTCTACATGCTCATCCACACGATACATGCAGACAAGATGGGCGCAGAGCGCGTGCTGCTGCGCGTGCAGGGCACGCCGCTGCCCGCAGACAAGAAAGACGCGGGACTGGAGCTGCTGCCGGCGGGGTGGGAGTCGACCGAGGGGCTCCCGACTAAGGGCGCGCTGCCGGATCTCGTCATCGTGCGTCCGGCGGTGCTGACGGACGGGGCGTGCTATGCCGAGTCGGGGAAGAAGAGCGACGAGTACAGGGTGAGGGCGGAAGGCGACAAGGCGGTCCCGAAGGGGTACACTATCAGCAGGCGCGATGTGGCGCATTTCATCGTGGAGAGGTTGTTGGGGAGCGAGTGGGACACGTATAAGGGGAAGGGCGTGTCACTGGCGTATTAGGCTGATTTTGGACTCTTGGTGGTGGATATATGTATCATAGCTGTTGTGGATGTACTGCATTGTCTAATATTCGCATAATACAACATACCCGGATCTGTTCAGTACGTTGGCTCACTTCGTTGGTGGTGAAGCAGAGGTTACTTCCGCTCCCGTACGTGTCCAAATAGGGACAACAACATCTCTTGCTTCCTGCCTCCATGTCCACCGGCACAAGTCGTACGGCCTTCTTCATTTCGTTTCGTTTCCCCACGCAGCACCTCCAGCGAGCCATGCAAATGGGCGCGCACGGCCTGGAAATACATGCTCCTAACGTGGTGTGGAAAGGTAGCCGATAAATCTAAAGTCCAGGCCGCCATAAGCTTTCCGCAATGGATGCCGAAACTATCTGGCAGGTCGAATGTACTGAAGCGTTCACAACGTCCCGTGGTGCGTCCTTTGCGACGTCGATAGCGCACCAACATGTGTGTCCTATCTTCCGCAAAAGACCCGCGGTACGTGGCACTGACTGCGGCGTGTACGCTAACTGCCCCTGGCAAAGAAGTCACAAGGGGATCCGTTCCGGCAGAGCCATCTGAATCAAGGCATGTACGCCAGGGCATGATTACTGTTTCGCATTCACAGGTTTAGTCTGGCTACCGTCTCCACGAGTCGAGGAGACGGTAGTCTCTCTCGCATGTGTATCACGCAATGCGTTAATGGAAATTAGACCCAGTCATTGCCGCTATGATGTCCGCAGCGTGATGGACCTTGTTTAGGCTTCGATAACGGTGCGCTTCATTGAAATCCTAATTTGACTTCCCATGCCAGAAACGCCTGACCTGCGTTAAATCACGCCTTTGTTATAGGGGATCTCTCACTACAGGCGGAAATTTATCGAAGAGTACGCCTGCGAGTAAACCGGGCGAGTCTCCTCGGTCTACGTATGTCGATGCTGTGATGTTGAACGACGTCGTTCTCCGCAGTCTTCTCTGTCTCCCCCGGACTACTTCATATCTTCGTCGACACAAAGGACTCGCGTGTCTCGTCCGCAGTCCTCGCTGCCAACGTGTATCTCTGTAGCTTGCTATAGCTACAAACCGCTGCGCAGATGACGTGTCTCAAGTGTCAATACAACGATAAGCGCTGGAATATAGGCACCGAGTAGCTGAAACGCGTCGCACCTGAGGCGCATCATCATGTGCGATCTTCGAAACGGGTTGTGCACCCCGCAATGTCGGGAAACACGGCCTTCCATTCGCTGCGGTGTGTAAATAACGATGCGCCACCCGCCTAATTTCCACCATGTTGTCTTGCGGTCAGGGTACACACTTACTGCGAGGCGCGCTCGTCTACATCTGCCCTTGCGCGTGTCGATATCGTCTGCGCTGCGCACACCGCCTGTAGGCACACACCACGACTCCTCCGCAGCAAGAGCGCCGTATATATACCGACCATGTTCGCTGGAGACACTCATCAATTCCACAACAGATCCTGTCAACTCATCCTCCACACTCTACTACCACTACCACAATGAACGTCTATGCGATCGGCGCGTCCCGTCACATTGGCTACTACGCCGCTGTCCGGTTGCTCAGTACGTTCTTCCTTCTCATCAGCTATGCACCGTCTGACATCGACTACAGAGAAAGGAGCGACCGTGACTTTCCTCCTGCGCAACGTCTCCGTATTCGACGACGACGCGGACATCCAGAATTACGTCAAAGCCGGAAAGGTGCGCCTCTTGAAGGGCGACGCACTCAACCGCGACGACGTCGCCGCCG